CCATCGAGCATCACTAAAAAACAACAGAGACGTGTGTTCGGCACCCATTTCCTCACACAGCATTTTAAAAAGTCTAGACTTCAGAGGATTTGTCTTGATAACATTGACGGTTTTACAACCGTCTGCAGCGCTTCATGAAGGGGTGGGCTGAGTTCTTTAGCTGCCAGAGCCTCCCGCTGTATCATACAGTGAGTCCATACTGCTTTGGGAGCAACAGCTTCAATTTTTGCTTTTAATCCAGCATGGATTCCAGACATTGAACGAGTTCCATCTGTGCATATGCCAGTGCACTTATCCCATGATATCCCATTTTCATTAAAAAAAGTATTAATCATGTCGAAAAGGCTTTGAGCTGTTGCTGTTCTCAAGATAGGCTCACAGAAAAACAATTCCTCTCGCATATTACACCCATCGACAAAACGAACGTACGCAATCAAATGAGCAGTCGCTTCGTCCACTTGAAGTGCAAAGCGTTTGTTACGCAACTTCTCAATTAAATGCTCACGTAAATCGTCAGAAATATCTGAAATTCTTCTACAAACTGTGTCATTTGAGAGGGGGGGATATTTTTCAATTGTTGAGCAGGAGAGTCACCCAACATTGTTGATACTATGTCAGTCGCTGCTGGCAAAATCAGTGTTTCTGCAATTGTGTGTGGTTTCTTGCATTTAGCAATTCTATGAGAAACCTGGTAAGAGGCTAAAAGGGCCTTAGAAGTCACATTTGTTATTTTAGCAAACTTCTCTTGGGTGGACTTTAAACCACTAAGCTTTCTAACAAAAAAATCTTTTGGTTTATTTGTAAACTTCGGATGTTTGGTTTCAAGATGTCTCTTTAATTTATTAGGGTTCACACTATCTGCAGCTAAAATATTTATACGGATTACACATTGCGGACGTTCTTCATCATTGGTCACAGTTTTCGTAAAGCCTAGAGATAAATAGTTCTCATCGCACCTTCTCGTTTTGACACTCCGAGTAGCTTCTTTCCTACCATTAATTGAAGGAGCACTGGTGTCTTCAATTCTGTCACTAATCAGGAAACGCTTCATGATCAGTTGTTCATAACCAAGTCAACTTCAAGAGGTAAACAAATCAGCACAACTGCACTGAAACGTTGAATGCATAAGAACACAACATCAAACAGGCATACCCGTCGATCTCCATTGAGTCTGGCGACAAACTGCCTGCTCCCTGCCCAACAGGCGCCATTAACATGACATAAGTCGCTGCTTTCAGCTGCGCGTGTACAATGCTGCTTGGAAGAGGATGCGGCTGCTGCCGAACTATCAACGCTGTCTCTGGCATACGCGTTTTATAATTGCCGGTAAAGAGAATATACTAGTTAATTTGAAATTCATGATAATTAAAGCCTCTACTCATCAAAACTTTTTTCTATATGTATTTTTTGTTACTTTTCTGTATGATTTAGGGCAGTTTCAATTTTTATCTGTAGGAAAGTATGCTGCGCCCCCCTTTCAAGACCTTCGCGTCCCCATGGGGGTCGCGCTCCACAGTTTGAGAACCACTGCATTAGTATATTAAAGTTTTTTGTTCCAAATTACCTCAGGAATGCCCTCCCTAAGTGGTGGTAAAACTTCGTGAATCACCCTGTATACAAGGAGACGCCGATCACAGGTGCCGCGCCGTCTAAGGCATTAGCTGTCTTTGCTCGCTCGAACGCTGGGACCGTGGGTTCGAATCCCCCTCAAGGCATGGATGTCTGTGTGAATTTTTCTGTGTTTGTGTTGTTCTATGTGTAGGTAGCGGCCTTGCGACGGAGTGATCCCCTGCCCAAGGAATCTTACCGACTGTGTATTGTATTAAGAAACTAAAAGAGCGGCAAAGGTCCAACACAGACNCTGGGAAAAGTATCATCTGTTCCAAAAGTCACTGTTACTTTGAGTATTAAGAAGAGCAGTGTAAAAATATCTCAGAAGGCAATCGAAGTAACTTAAAAAAATATCCCTCTAACAGGCCGTGAAGGCCCATAGGGTTGTGAGATGTCGAGCTTCCCATATTTTGTCTAGATAATCGGCTCACAGATGACGGTAAGGTTGTCAGCCTTACGCGCCGGCCGCCCTTTACCCTCCCCCTCCCCTTCAGGAAGATTCCTGATACTTATTTATGTTAGAGGCTGAGTGGACCCCAGGGCCATAGTGCGGCTGTAAGAATTAGGTCAATTGAAAAAATCCACCTCGTCGGGACTCGAACCCGCGACCTTCCGGCTTGTAGCATACTGACTCAACCAACTACGCTACCGCGTGCCCCTTATGAACTAAATTTAAATTGAATCATAGGAATTGTGATTTTAGGAAAGGAGTTCAAAACATCACAACAGATGGAAGACTGTACCTACATATGATCTGTTCTGTATATAGGTCTATACTTCGAAACAGGCGGCAAGAAGTATAATTAGTTCAACAACAGGTGAACGGTAAATTAGCAGAAATTGCAATCGGGTAGGAAGTTACTCGAGCTACATTCACAGTGAAATAACAACGTAAAGATAATTTTTTTAGAATTTCATTTACTGATTAAGGACGTGCATTTATTTCATCTGAGAATAATGAACAACTGAGGCCGTGGGTTTACGAAGTATAACGAGCAATTTTTTTTTTAATTGCTTCATTTTGGTCCGTTACACTATTATACATAAAATCAATACAAAGTCCGTCGAGTGTAACAATGTTTTTTAGGTCACTTCTTTCTCACTCTTGCCTTACATGTTTCGGTTTTAGTAAAACCATCTTCAGAGGCACATGGTACTAACAAGAAAACACTGGCGATGTTTCACTGTACACAGTATATATGCTGTGTGGGCACTGCTACAAATGTCGATGTGTAAAAGCACAACACTAGCTTGGAGTACTGAATGCACGTACAGAATGCACGTTCAACGGCATATACAAATTGACTTGCCAGGAGTGCCAACAAGTGTACATAGGTCAAACAGGCAGAAAATTAGTAACACGCTATAATGAACATATAAGAAGTATAAGATTCAATAAAAATGACTCCGCCTATGCTCAACATATTTTAAATAGACAACATCAATATGGCCCAATTTCGCAAATCATGGAATTGATTGAAGTAGCAAAGAAAGGCAAATTAATGAATATTAAGGAAGAATACCAAATTTACCGCCACTACAAGGATAACAAATTAATAGATGAGCAGAAACAGGCAAAGGAGATCAATAACCAGAACAGCATGTTCGACCTTATCACTACTTGTATAAACACACCCCCGACCACGTCATAACACACAAGGCTTTAAATAACACTGGCGTAGAACTCTCACCGCAGTACACAACACACAACGCACAGGANACGCGAGGGCAACTTCGGATGGAATGCGAAGGTTGAACGTGCATTCTGTACGTGCATTCAGTACTCCAAGCTAGTGTTGTGCTTTTACACATCGACATTTGTAGCAGTGCCCACACAGCATATATACTGTGTACAGTTAAACAACGCCAGTGTTTTCTTGTTAGTACCATGTGCCTCTGAAGATGGTTTTACTAAAACCGAAACATGTAAGGCAAGAGTGAGAAAGAAGTGACCTAAAAAACATTGTTACACTCGACGGACTTTGTATTGATTTTATAACGAGCAATATTTGTGCTGCATAAACCCAGAGAGTAGCAGAAGGTAAATCACAAATGCCCTGCGTGTGTCCCTTCAGACAAATTTACATTCTCAAAATCTATTCTCTTAACGTTGTAGTCCCACGTAATCTGTGGTCTTCCAAATACAGTTCGGTTGCACTTCACGCGAATTTGAAATAATGCGATATCAAAAATATTAATAAATTCTCGCTTTATGTGCAGAGTCTGAAATAATACGAATACCTCCCCCTAAAATTGGAAAGAATCACTCGTTTTTTTTAAACTTCTCTTGAATTATGAGAGGTTTTCAGGAACGCATCCCTCGCATAAACTGCGATACCCTGTACTCATTTGATGCATCACCCTTTTCATACTTCCATAACTGAACTCTATTACTAGGCTACCTTCACCTTAGTTCTCTCCTGTGATATGTGTCTGCTTAAGCCCAGTTACTGTATTCAGGATTTGGTTTGAACACACGTCTGTTTATTCTCTTTGTACAGAAAGGGGTACCAAAGTTTCACAATCGTTAAAAGTAGTTTTCTTTTAGCTTTTAGTTTCTTGGGGTGAGGTGAGACTGAGTCCACTTGGTATATCGGCCACTGTTTGGGCTATTGTACAGACCCTGGATGATAGATGGTGAGTGCAGGGCAGTCGGTGGAAAGAGAATTTGCAGGGGAAACCAAAGAATTCGGAGAAAAACTGCCCCAGTACCAGTTTGTTCACCAGAAATCCCGCATGTTCTGACCTGGGCTCGAACCCGAGCCACCACAATGGGAAGTCGGCGACTAAATGTCTGAGCTATGGCACGGCCTCCCGTTATATTCATGTATATGAAAAAAAAGGTAAGTTAGACCTATCCTTGTAACAGGCCGTGGAGGCCCATAAGTTTATGAGACATCGAGGCTCCCACATTTCCTAGCCTATCAGCTCACAGATGGCGGTGAGGTGGTCAGCCCTAAGCGCCAGCCGCCCTTTATTCCCCCCCCCCCNGGCTGAGTCGACCCCAGGACCGTAGTGCGGCTGGAAGGATTATGTTAATTGAAAAATCCAATGAACTCATCGGGACTCGAACCCATGACTTTCTGGCTTGTAGCATAGTGTTTGAACCAACTGCGCTACCGTTATAAGTAATTAACGTAATTATCGCTTGATCTTTCTTTATGTACTGTACTTTGGAAAACAGTTCTTGAACTCAGCAGTATCAAGTAGCTTCCTTTCGTCGTGAACCCCATTTCAATCAAATTTCACCCTGCCACAACTGTAGATGCTGGAGCCTCACCTCTGCACTGCGAGTGCCAGGGTGAGCCAGATGGACGCCGTGTGGAACATGGCAGGGATCACCTCGTTCATGATGTTCCATGCGTAGCAGGCACCTACAGGAGACAGTGGCTTGTAGTGATTACCGAAAGTGTACATATAGAAGAGCCAGGGAGCAGGAAAGAGCAGCGTGAACATGTCGGAGAGGGCCATGGCCATGAGCACGGCGTTGGTGGGAGTGCGCATGTGGCGTTTGGACAGCACCACCACGATCAGCGTGTTGGCGATGATGGTGACCACCAGCAGGAAGGGTACCACGTAGCCGTACATGGGCTGCGCGTAGCGGATGGGCAACTCGCAAGTCACGTTCAGGTACAACGAGCGCGTCGCGTTGCTCTCCCACGTGTTCGTGCAGTTAGTCGTCATCTTGTGCGCCACTCACTGCTTCAGCATCTGCAGGCACAACACAGTGCACCATGAACTCAACTGGTAAAGTACAGAGAGTGAGACATTTTGTGTGTACGAGTATTATGACAAAATTTTAAAAAGGAACAGACAACTGAGCAAAATACTTTTACGTTAACAATGATAACAAATGGGGTATTCTAAAGAACCACATGAAACGTAAGACACATTTACTGTTAGTAGAATGGATTGTCAAGTGGTGTGAGTAGAGACGAGATTTGAATTGGTGACTAGAGTTATTGGACACTTAGACTCGTAACTGCAAATAACTACGATAGTCTTTCTCAGTCTTTACTAGCCGTTGCTTGGTAGCGGTTTCAAAGGCGCTTCAAAGGTTTCCCTTCCTCTGGGTTCTCGAACTGCCCCGGCCTCAGCTATCAGCTTCTCACTTCTCACAACCGCAACTCTTAGGCTTAAGACCAGATCTGTATTACTGTCAGACAGTTGCGAGTTTGCTGATGTGGGGCGCTCTCTCTGACGAAGAGAATGCGTCTGTCGTTTGCAGTTGATGCTGTCCTTCGCCAGAGCAGTCATTCTCAGGCCCGAGTCCCGTGGAACTCGGGCCCATATTTTACTGTCTCAGATTCGAGAGTTCTCTTCTCGTCGCCCCCTACGACTCGCAGGGTCACGGTGCAGGTATTCGACCCCTACTAAACACGAGACAACTCTCCCATCACAATTGAACTACTAGTCCTCGTTATATAGCCCCGGCATGGACGGCACAGAAAACGTCTCTTTCATTATTGAGTATTCTCTCGTTGCAGGGGAAACGTATCCACAGAGCTGTTCCCTAGCAACGGATGTTTTACTGTCGCCTGTTTACATAGCTGTTATTTGGCAATGAGCTAACATGTTACAGTATTAAGAAATCTATTCGAATTCTCTGTAAACATCAAATTACCAAGTCCCTGACAGATGTTTTCTGAATTCGTTCTTCCAAAATTTTACAAGGCGCTGAACTTTTGTTAGAACATTTCTCGAAAGTTCGCTGAAGGCAAGTAGAAGAAGGAAACTCCGAAGGATCATGGGCACTGTGTACGAGGTTAAAACACGACTACACAGAAGACAGCTGCACTCAACTCTAATCTCCCTCCAGTGCTGGGAAACGTGTTCTTCTGGTCTCTGTTCCAGATTACGTGACCTTGTAGCCTTCACTGCCCGTGGCTTTGCAATGGGGATGTTAATTAGAAGCTTATTAAGTGCGTCTCTGGTGCAGGGAGCAAATTCGTTTTCAGAAAGGAACACAGTAAATTATAGCAGACGAGAATAAAAATATTCACATTTAACGCGTGCGCATAGCAGTTCGAAGGAAATTTGCTTCTTCGTTTACTTGAGAAAATGCGTCCCATGAGCCAAAATACGAGGAGCAAAATGAAAGAAAAACTAACTCATTAACGAAATTAATAACCAAAGAAGTCAGTGACCACCTAAGAATAGTTCTTTTGCAATTACTAGTATTGAATCAGTGGATTAATATGAAGTGACCGTACGATGTTTAAGAAAGACGTAGGCACACACTGGACCCTCAGTACGTGACGCAGAAGCACGCGGGCAAGATACTTCCATAAAGATATGTGGATTCAGCTCGAGTAGTGATACGTCTATGATTCCATCTTCTCCATCCGTCATGGCGAGTCTTTCATCGCTCCAGAATGAAATAAAAGAATGCACTGGTTATCAGCACTTACAGCCATTCAGCGTAATGTGGGTTCCAGTCTCGACTGGGCCGACGTGTTCCAATAAGGCCCATTGTGAGCACTATTGGCTCTCCTACCTATCGCCTGGCCAAATACTTGGCTGGCCTACTGAGCACATACACTGGCAACGGTCCACACCACGTAAGGAACTCCATGGAATTTGTCCACACATTGGGCTCTCTCCATGCTGATCCCCATGACATAATGGCCAGTTTCGATGTAGTGTCACTTTTCACCAGGGTGCCTATAAAGGATACTATGGATCTGCTAGGACGAAGAAGATATCTTGAGACTCTTCCGCCATGTCCTGTCCGCTTCATACTTCAGCTTCCATGGCCAGTTCTATGAACAAACCGATGGTGTGGCGATGGGCTCGCCACTCTCTCCGGTCATCTCTAACCTCTATATGGAGGACTACGAGGAGAGGGCACTTGACTTGGCCCCACACAAGCCCCGCTGCTGGTTTCGCTACGTGGACGACACCTTCGTCATCTGGCCACACGGGCCCGACAAGCTTAAGGACTTCCTCAACCACCTAAACAGTATCCACCAGTGCATTAAGTTCACAATGGAAACTGAAACTGAGGGCCACCTCCCCTTCCTGGATATAGATATTTACAGGAGACCCGACGGTTCTCTGGGGCATAGAGTGTACCGAAAATCCACCCATACAAACCTCTACCTTAACGCTGCGTCCCACCACCACCCTTCCAACAAGCAAGCTGCACTTTCCACACTGGTGCACAGGGCTAGAGCACTGTGTGATCAAGACAGTCTACATGCGGAGTTGCTGTTCCTCGGGGGTTGTATTCAGGCAGAACGGGTACAACAACCGGCAGATCCACAGAGTTCTCAACCGTCGGCCCAACATCAGTCGGCCTGAAGATAAACCGGGCTCAGTCGCATTCCTTCCCTATGTCGGGACCATATTCAACCGTATCAGCAGAGTGCTGTCCCGGCATAACATCAAAGCAGTGGGTCTGCCTCCAAACAAATTATCCAGTTTGCTCCGGCTGTTCAAAGATAGCCTAGGACTAAGGACACCGGGTGTATACAGTATCTAATGCGAGTGCAGCAAGGTCTATATTGGGCAAATGAGCCGCTCCGTGATCATGAGTTTGAAGGAGTATCAGCGGCACATCCGTCTCGAACATCCGGACAAGTCAGCCGTAGCTGAACACAGCATCGATCTGGGACACCGCATTCAGCTTCAGAATACCTCCATCCTAGCCACCAAGACCCATTATATGGATCGCATCATTAGGGAGGCCATTGTGATTGAACTCCACCCCGACAATATGAACAGAGAAGGGGGTTTTGTCTCAGCAGGTCATGGAAGCCTCTCATCTGTTCCCTAACCCCCCCCCCCGGACATGATGCAAAATCCACAAGGCCACACAGTCCATGACCGACTTACATAGCAACCCCCCCCCCCCGCTTAAGGGTTAATGCCCTCCCATTAACCTTGCATTTCTCCCCCGACACAATATCCTATACCTGCTCTAACCTTGCTCCTGTCCCAGACCCTTCCCCTCTACCATTCCACTGATTTCCCATGTAGCCCTATTCCTTCCTTTCCTGCTCATATATCTGAGTTTATTTCCAACAGTAGTCTTGCTGCACATGTTCTCACTGTCTTTTCGCTTGCGGATTTTCTAATTTTTCCTTCTACCTTGAAGATGGAGGCGATACGTTCCTCCGAAACGTCCGTTAACATCAAATCTACACGGTGCCACTTCCCAGAAGACCGCTTTCTTCAGTTATACAGAAAATCGCCGTGTGAGGATGTCAAGTGTGATTTACAAGACTATGTGTGAGACGGTGCAGTGATACTCGAAGTGTAATTGGAAGGTCTTATGCGCAATATTTGGAGTGAACTGAAGTGACAGTTTCTGTGTGGAGATCTGTTGCTAGGAGACGACTAGTGGAAGACAGACAATCCTAGTGCGTGCGCAACGGTGAACTGGAACGTGTGCAATCCAGTAATAGCGCTGTATTGGAGTGTAATTATGACAAAGTGTAACGAATTGGTTTGTAACGGCAGCAACCACCGCCATGTCCCTCAACCAGACCCCCTTCTTTCCTTTTCCCCCTCTCCACATGCCCTACGCTTGCGCCCTTCATCCTTTCACCAGGGACTGAGAGGCTCGTCTGAACACTGGAGGGCCATTCTGCTGCACGCCGTGGAAGAGTCTGGTCTCGACCCCAAATTATTTTTTGGAATTTTGGTTTACTAAATTAACGGCGGAGTTGGTGGACGCTTGTACGTTGTGCCGTCCTTAGCTGGGGCAGTTTGTATTTTTTTAATCAATTATATTATTATATTGTTATATTCATTTGGTGTCTGTATTGTTAATATAGTTTCCTATCCCAAACCACTTTTCGGTCCTTGGGCTTTGGTACGTTTCAGGTTAATGAGCCCAACTACCAATCCGAACGGCGTCCACATTATTAAAATACATTTTTAGTGAGTGACATATTCTTGATGTCTTTGATATTGTTGCATTATTGCCGTATACTTTAATAATAAAGATACATACAACCAAGTCTTTATTTTTGTCTTTTTGGTGCTGAGGTAAAAGAATGTGTAAGAAAGTCGCAGCTTTGTTTAATGTTTGATGAAGTTTCAGTCTCGTGGCTGGTGGGGAAAATGCTGATGTCGGTGTCTGAACTCCTGGGTAGGGAGGGACCGCGTCTGTGGACTTCAGAAGAGACAGTCTGGCGGTCTGTAAGGAGAGTAGCAGGGCAGGGTAGGATATTTCTGAAATGTACCTAATCATCTTCTGAGCTACAGTCTACCGTTGATGAAATGATTAAAGCAGGAAAGGAAATGTTACATAGTAACGACTGCGCAAGCCTCATAACCGTAATGAACAGAAATGCAAAATTGTCCCCGTGGTTAACTAATTAACACTACGCCAGGAGGCGTGTATGGGCGGATATACAGGTCCGCGCTATCTTGACCTCAGACCGTTTGGAGGTGAATGATCAGCTTCACGCCTCCGTAGCTTTACCCCTGGGAAAGAGCCCCCGGTACCCATTGGATAGCAGACTAGGTGGGCCCGAGCCGGTCTAGACGATGTGGAGGAGAGAAAATTCTTGATCATACCGGGACTCAAACACCGACCCCTCGGCTGTCCAGTCGTAGCTTGGAGCTGTACCGACTGCGCTATTCCGGTTCCAGTTGTAATGAGTTAATTATTATATGTGTGTTTAAGAAAGGGCTCTTGAGTGGTTAAAAGACAGATTGCGAATCTTACATATGGAAGATTATCTGAACAAGTGTTTGCACGGAAGCATGATACAGTGACCCAACATTATGATCTACCTATTCTAAAAATGCAAAGCTATCCCTGTAACAGGCTGTGGAGACCCATACGTGTGTGAGACGTCGAGGCTTCCACATTCTTCCATACAATCGGCTCACATATGGCGGTGAGGTTGTCAGTCTTAACTTGCCTAACAACGAAACAGCGGTAGACTTAAATCGCTTTATACATGCATGCTCAGATCACTACTTATCAATCTGTGGGTCGCGACCCTCTAGAAATTCGCGATATACTGTAAGGAAAATTGACAATTTGTCAAGATATATTTAAAACACTTCTGTATTTACGCAGCTCTGTAAAGTCTGATGTAGGTGTTTTCGGAAAACACAGCCACAGCTGAAGGAACATTTCGCGAAATTTTTCATGACTTCACAGGTACATTCTGCGACTTATGTAGGTTCAGGGAAGCTGAGAGGCTATAGAACATCTTGCCCGTCCCCGTTGTCTGATGGATACCTGCAGCAACGTGCGGAATTACACTTTTCGGGGATCGGCATAAATTGGGGGTGGGGTGATGAATTATTTCAGGGGTTGCAATATCTCAGAATTTGCGAACTCCTGTCTGAGATTCACGGTAGACAGAACGGAATCAGACGGGTGTTTCTGTATTGTAAACACGTGACCGGAACATAAGGAGTATGCTAAGAGGCGTATGGCGATCTGACAGGAATTACTGATAATGACGAGTAAGCGGATCTGGTAAGGATAAAAACAGTAAACCCTTCCGACCGCATAATGAACAGGCACGATATTCCAGTAGCAAAATAAATTAAGATAGAAAGCATCCAACTTGAAGATGCTGCAAAAATTAAGTTCCAGCGCAACGACAAATTCACAGAACCATAAAAATCCTACTACTACTATAATTACAACTACTACTACCACCACTACTACTACCAGTAGTAATAGTAGTAGTAGTAGTAGTAGTGGTAGTAGCAGTATGTGATCATGTTCGAAGAACTCCGTTTACTAGTATTCAGTAGGTCCGTTCACATGGTAATTCAACATTCCATTTCAATATAAACACTGTGCATCAATTCTATGATTCGACTCTTATAATAAAATTTCGTATGCACTTTTTTTACTCCTTGTCTACCACACTCTTCTTCAAGCTAACCCTCGAGTTGGTGAGTATAAGAATGCCGGCGATGTTAATAACATAATAATAAAATAAAATAATTAAAGTTTAGTGGTAACAATGCCGGTCACGGTAGCCGAGCGGTCTAAGGCGTGTTCTGCCTTCGCTCGCTCAGAAGCAGGGATCGGGGATTCGAATCCCACTCAGGACATGGATGTGTGTGTTTTTCTGTGTTTGTGTACAGGTAAAGGCCTTTGGACGAGCTGATTACCCGCCCAAGGAGTCCTACCGAATGTCTAAGATCTAGTAAGCCGAAGTGAAACGGAGAGTTTCACGGAGGTAGGCCAAGGCCCAAATTGGGGTTGTGGCGCCAAAGGAAAAAAAGAAAAGTAGTAATAAGAGCGATGTATTAACATGTTGGGCGGCATTCAGTTCTTCCCAGAGTTTCTCCTTATTTCCATTAATACGATTGGGTCAGCCCTGGTCGATAAACTGCATGGCAGGCTGAGATACTAGTTGTTACGCTATGAATGAATGAATGTATAGGGGGTGGGCCTTCTCGGCCCTTGCACCGCGACCTACAGTGGTCTGTTGTGCTTCCCCTTTTGCTTATCCCCTCAGCAATCCTGCGCTTCGATGTTGTTACGCTATGTGGACATTCTTCTGTTTATCCAGCGTGGCTCTTTCTTTTCATAAACCTCATCACATAAACTAACAATCGATCTGTCCCTTGTTTGCTTACCGCCCAGTCTGGTGCGCTATGCCCCAGTGACTCTGCAGACATTACAATTGCTGCAAAAGCGGAGTAGGTCCAAAAGATTTTTTTGTTATAATTTGATTTGGGACGTTACCTCATATGTTTTGGGACAATCATAATATGAATACTCTCCTTTATAACGTATGTAAGTGTAGGTTATACATTAATCTGCACAAATTATTCTTTTAAAATTGTTCGGACCTTTATTAGAACGGAGTTGTGTGTGTGTGTGTGTGTGTGTGAAGAAGTTGTTCTCCGCAAGATAGGAAATCGTCCAAGAAAAGGGAACAAAACATATAAGAATGTGGAGGCAAAACTCCAGTCATTAATCTTAGCAGCAGATACTGGTATGGTCATCGTCACGCTTCGATCGCTCTCTCCTTTGGAGAGAACTGTGAGTACTCAGAACTCAGGAACTCCGCGAGTTCCAGAGCCGGTCAGCTTACAGTGACACAATCACTGGGAGTCGAACTCAAGTCGCCAAGGCTGCAACCAGTCCTTTAAATGTCTCAGATATTTAGGTTTGTTACAGAATGTATTTATGAGACGGGATAGCGCAGTGGCTATGGGCTGGCGACGGATAGGTCGGAGTTAGAGTCCTGGTGGGGTCAAGAATTTTCACTTCTCCATGTCATCAAGACCGGTTCTGGGGTTCACTCAACCTTCTATACACTGAGTACAGGGGCTCTTTCCCGGCGGTGAAACGACCGGGGCGTGAAGGTGACTACTCACCTCTAACTAGAGCTGGGGTACAGAAAATGTGAATCTACACATCCACTCCCCCATACGTCTTCAAGGCGTAGTGCTTAATTAGTTAAGCACAGACACAACTTTACTTTTACTTTACAGAATGTAATTAATTCGAAGCAGGGAATTTTCTCCGTACGGGCTGACTAACTGGGATTTTCTTCTGTGAAAATTTCAACTTTGCTTTCGTGCCGCCCCAATTTATTTCGCTACCCTTGTGCTGCAGGGCACTTGCTCACAGAGAATCGGGAAGGGGGAGAGGGGGACTGCTTATTTAGACTAGAAATTCGTACTCGATTCGTCGTTATGATGTGCTTATAATCGTTCCAATCATCATGACTAGAAACTCAGAAATTCAACTCTATGAACTTTAAACATATGATAGAATTAGTGCGAGTTTTTTTCATTTTTCTTGTATTTACTGACCTTGTTAGTACCGAGATTATATAGAGTCGAATGAGCAATTAATGTCGAGGTTTTGGAATAAGAAATATCAGGGGAAATCAAAGTACTCGAAAAGAAAACCACCAAAGTGCCACTTTATCACAACAAATCGCGCATGGTCTGAGCCACTGAGGTGGGAAGCCTGCCAGTGCAGTGCTTGTATAGATGGCAGCAGTATATGAAGTTGTATCGGAAAGTTCCCGGACTGTTATTGTTGTACCTACCTCGATGAAAGAAGATGAGAGGGAGGCCAAGGTCATACTTCCGAAAGCCTGCTCCATCACTCTGCCACGTGACACCACGCTTCTTTTTACACGAGTGCTTTTTCGAATTTTTGTTTCGTTTTGTCTGAGATGGATGGCAAAATCAAGCAAAGTGTATGCATCAAGTTTTGCGTAAAGCTCAGTAAATCCGCCACCGAAACACTTGAAATGCTTCGTGAGGCTTTTGGAGAAGGACAGAGATTTCCGAATGGCATTCACGTTTCAAGACAGGTCGAGGGTTAGTTGAAAATGATGAACGTTCAGGGCGACCAAGCACCAGCAAAACGACAAAAAAAAGTTGAAAAAATTGAGAATTCATCTACGAAGACCGTCGCCGAACAATCCATGAGCTCGCGGACACCGTTGGGATCAGTTATGGAGATTTCCAGAGATCTTAACAGAGAATTTAACATGCGCCGCACTGCTCCTTCATCATGGAAATGCGCCAGCCCACACGTCCCTGAAAACAAGACTAACAACAACATGGTTACCGTTCCCCATCCTCCCTACCGCCGGGCTTAGCCTCCTGCGATTTCACTTTGTTTCCCAAAATGAAAATGAAGGGACAACATTTTGAAACAGTGTCTGACATCCAAAGGGAACCGCAAGCGGCACTCGACAGCATTAAGGAAAATTGATTTCCACGGGGCTTTTCGTTCTTGAAAAAAAAAAAAACCCGATGGGATCGCTGCATGCGTTCCGAAGGAGATGAGTAAGTTAAGCCAGCAGTTCTTTCTTGATCTAGTCCGTGAACTTTCCGATACACCTCGCACACGGAAAGGAGAGAGATGCATTCACATTTTTAAATGAAGACCCCGAAGACAAGAGACTACTTGGGAGGATAATATTAAAACGGATCTTTTAAAAATATGTGAGGATGTGGGCTGCTTTCGTATGGTTAGGGACAGAGTACAGTGGCGAGTTCTTATGTTCTGTAAGAAGTGGGAAATTTTCTGACAAACTGAATGACTATGAGAATTAACTTCATTGCATTGTTTAGTTAGACATATAATGGTAGCACATGCGCATTCGTGCGTTAATGTTTTTTCCTGTTAAGTCTGGTTACGATGAAGGTTGAACAAGGCACCTTCATTCTCGATACTGTCGTCATAAGAGCACAGCCACACACAGTGAAGGGAACAGAAGTGAAGTTCACGAGACGGAGAGTGATGTTTCTCCGGTGAAAGACAAAAGGATTTAGTCCTACAAGAAAGTTTGCCCAGAGCACACTGTAGCCTCGGTGAAAATACGTTCAAAATGTTCCGACAGTGTTTACAGTTAAAATATTTGTTTGAAATAGATAAGGTAGCGAATATCCAGCTTATGAATATTGTATTGGTATATACTTACACATAACATGCCTGAGTATGAAAGATAGGGTCGATCACAGTTGCCGCGCTCTCTAAGGCATGAAATGCCTTCGGCCTCTCAAACATCGGGATCGTATGTTCGAATCCCACTTGAGGCATGGATGTCTGTGTGCGTCTATTCTGTGTTTGTGCTGTCCTGTTTGCAGGTGGCGGCCCTGCGACAGGCTGATCCCCGTCCAAGGAGTCCTACCGGCTGTGTAACAGATCAAGAAACTGGAAATTCAGCATTGACACCGTTAACAAAGTATAAAGTTTTACTGTAAATTTAAATACCCACCTTCCCTAAATGCGTTTTCTTATATCCTCTACATTTCAGTGGATGTATGTCCATTTGCTGTGGCTAGAAATGTATTCTAAAGCTAATTGCACTGCAGGACATCAGAGTCGATTTCATTTTTTTCACATATCATTAAATATTTAACATCTCGGAAATGTGTTAACCTGCTCTGTATTATATTTCATGCGTCATACATTTATCCAATGCGCGGATTTTGAGAGATCTGTGAAGTTCGATTTTACCTTCCTGTAACGTATGGATCAAATTAGTCAGACACTAACGAAAATTAAATCAGCCTAACATCTACTGCACGCTTCCAGTATCGAATTTTATCGACGCCAATCCGGTAGTTTCAGAGACAGTGTATGAAGACCGACAGACAAGAATTCCCCATCATGTGTTTGATTCTTCCTTCAGAGAACGCATAAAATCGTGTGAACATCCGGACATACCCTGTCTCAACAACGCCTTCCTTATCTATGCGTTCCGTATAATAGTGTGACATGTCTAACCGTTGCCGGGCAACGAGAGGTGGAACGAGTTACTATGAAGACACACCCTTGATAAACGGTCGGTTGCCAAGTTACGCAACAGTAAGGAAAGCGGTGTTTGTCCGTGCCGAGCCGAGCCGAAGCGCGCTGGTTGCTACGCATCAATAAAGAACTCTCGGCAGCGTTGCCCAGCAACGCCTTTGTAAACACGGCGTCACGCAACAGGGGAACCCGTGCAATGACTGTTGATAGGCAATCGTTAAACACGACGTTACGCAACAGTCGTACCTATCACGTAACTGTTTTCTGTGTTGTCCGTGCCGAGCCTAAATAAGGAGCAGCGAACATTATTCAGTAGTGAGTACTGAGCCAGTTACTAGAGAGAGTGTGTGATCAGGAGTGACACAGTGCGGATCGTGAAGTCGCCGAGTGCAGCAGAAGTCTAGCAGTTGCCGAGAGCAGTGGATGTAATTGTGATACTGCCGATGGCAGTAACTGTAATTGTGAACTGTGTGAGTATGAGAGCGAGTGTGCAATAAATTCGCTATAGCCAAGACGGCGTGAAGTTATTTGTCGCGTGACATATACTCAAAACGTGACAATACTATTGGCAGGATCCGCCGTCAACTGATAGGGGCCTATCTGCAACTCAATATTTCCTGTATATCTTAATGCGTGATTCGTTTATGTCATGTTTAGGACGGTGGGGGAAATAATGTAATAAAGCTAAAAGGTAACGCTATGCCTCTAACAGGCCGTCGAGGTTCCCACATTATCTAGACAATCGACTCACAGATGGCGGTGAGGTTGTCAGTCTTAAGCGCCGGCTGCCATTTGCATTCCAGGAAGATTCCTGGTACATTCCTGTTAGGGGCTGAGTCGACCCCAGGGCCATCTAGTGGCATAGCCGTGCAATCATCAACTACGCTACGGCGTGACCCCAGTGTAAGGACGGTGATATACTAATTCGCAGTGTATTGCTAAGTTAGCGATCGCCAGTGGTTCATACAAACATTCCTCGGTGTATTGGTCGATTGGCTGATTACTTAACGTCGCTACCAGTATCGAAAATATACGGCGTCGGCCCCTGTTGCATCAGAGCACGTCACGTCATGTGACACATTTTCCTCGCTACCCGCCTGTCCACGTTGCTTTATAACTGGGAATAGAGTGGAAGCATCTCGCGGCATGTACGGCAAATGTAGGTACTATGTTCCTAACAGTATAATAATAATTGTAATGGTAATGATAATGTGACATTACGCCCGAAAGAGCAATTATGAAGTAAAAATAGACCTGCACTTCTAGGAAATTACTCAGTAAACACATTCCCGCAACAACGAATACGCAAACAACAATCGAGTAATTTCCGCTGCTATACAACAGTGCTGTAAACACGCCTTCCCAACAAGAGAGAGTTTTCTTTTTGTGCGTGGTCCGTGCAAAGTAGTTATAAAGAAGGGTTCAGCTGAAAAGAGTTAGTTGAGTTTCGAGACGCCAGCCTGCCGGGATATGAGCTTGAGAGCAGAGGAATTGAACTGAGCCGAGTCTTAGGAATTGGTAGTTGTAGAACAATGGCAAGAAAGAATATTTCATGTGTGACTTGAAGTGACAGTGAGACTGTTATAAGTCCGTTGCCAGGATACGACCACTGAAGACTGAGAACTCTAATGCATGTGTAACGGTGAGCTATAAAGTGTGGAAGTAGCTGGAGCGCTACAATTGTCTGTAGTCCCAACATGAATGTATAAGGTGCCAATAAATCTAATCATACAATCAAGAACCCGTCTATAAGTCACGCAAAACCCCCCACACGTGACGATAACAACAACCATAATAATAATAATAATAATAATAATAATAATAATAATAATAATAATAATTCAATTCATGTTTTTTTACGTGCAATAACTTAACAGCACAGTGGCCAATTACAAAGTTAGCACGAATATATAAGGTACAGAAAATAATTAAAACAAAATACAAATATGACAAATNACACACATTTGTAGTTAATGAAAACACTAATCCAGTAGCACCGTAAAAGGTTTGGTACATGCTTGTAAAATATGATTCAGAGAAACCGCTCCGTCTGCAAATATGTGGAGATCTTTACCCACCGCGTTGGTAGCAAGGGCGCACCGAGAAGAGGGGCAGTGTCTTTTCGAGGGATGAACGCTAAAAGTAGAGAAGTCTCGAACATGGCATAATAATAATAATAATAACAATAATAATACCGTGGGACTAGAAATCTCTGCAGAGGAGAGTACGCTTTATAAATTCTGTTCGGAACTTTTTGTTTACAAAATATTATTTAAGAATTTCCACGCTATGACTCGAATATATCTTCGGAGCATGGCATTATCGCAAAACCGCTGTTCTCTCATACGCTGAGGCTTTAATCTACCCATTTGCAGGATCCCGAAACTGAATTTATAAGTTAATATGGAAACAGGAAATAAAATGCTTTCTGCTTGAAATTCCAGCGTGAAAATGGGTAAAATCACTACGCGAGAGACTCGGCTAATAATATTTCAAAATTCTGTGCGTAAGTATAAGGAAACACCGTTTTATGGAAAGGAGCCACGTTCATTGCTAGAGCCGAAGGAAACGCAGATGGGTCTCCCCTGCGTGGGCAACATCCGAGTTCCTGAACGTGAAAGCGGGAGGCAGCGCGCCGTATGGCTTTGCAGAAAACTCAGCTATGCGATAAGTGTGTCAATTGTGTCGTATTCTGGATCGTGTTGCCATGGAAACTCTGCGGGTTTCTTTGCCTTGTGACTAGAAAGAAGAAGAGACAGCGAGAGCGCTGAAGCTAATATGGCTTCAAAATACTCTTTACTCTTTATAACGTCCAACTTCGGGCAATTCCATGTTCCAATGACAATGGTATCTATTTGCGTCGGGAGACTTTTACAAATCCTGAGCAGGCTTGCTGCATGTCGGACTTGACACAAAGCTTTCTGCTCTCGTTTATTTTTGAGGCGTATTGTTTGTCGCTACTGCTTCATATTACAGAAACCTCGGGTTCGATTCGTTGCACGAAATCCCTTTTAACAGAATGAAGATATAATGATTTCTCTTGGAAACTAATGCCAAATATTGCGCAGTATGTCTGCCGTTTCCTTGCACAGCACGCTCAGTTTATCTCCTAGCACCATCCTTCGTCTCCAGTTGAGAAGGTGTCACTGATAACAAAGAAACAAACGAACAGAATACACGGCAGGAGTGAACTGATCGGTTACCGTTCAAAAACAAACATGTTGCAGGTCCTGATGTGTTCGGTTACTGTAATAATTTAGTACCTGCTGAATGCCCTTTTTGGTTGATGTATTGTTTGTTTAACGATGTTTGTCAGTAACGCAGGCTATTTTGCATGTGTAACGAACTGGAAAGGACGTTGAAGGTAGTGGTCATAGCCTAATTTAAGGTATCCCTACTACGTCGGCTGAGGAAAATCGTGAAAACATGTTTACAGCTGTGGAATGACAGTGAAGCTTCTAGGTCAGATACGAATGTCATACAGCAAAATGGCGCAGAAGATTAGGCTTACACAGGAAATCAGTTACTAGGAGTAAGACAATATATCAGATTCAGCTTCAGAATCGCTGTAGGTAGGTCAGACACGGGCATGCGTCAAGACACGATGTCTGCGACATGATGCAAAGAAAGGAGCAAAGTTGAAACGAATGAGATTATGAAAACCGCCGCACACCGGTCTGTCAAGACGTCAGCATCATGACTCAGACCGATGTGTTCGCAGCCTCTCTTATCACATGCGTTCCATCTGTTGGCCACAGTCTAAACTACAATGCACAGGAATAAGCGCCAGAACTTTCCTCGGGAGGGGGGGGTATGTAAAGCGGAAATGGAGGAAGCTACTGGTTAAATTTGGGAATATATATTGAATTATCTGAGACAAAATTAATATAGAGTTTTGGAAAGAGTTCCTCTATAAAGCGGTCAATTCCAACACTGCTGACACAACGGAATCATGACAGGGAAGTGGGCAGAACTGGCGCAGGATTTAATCGATTCTGTATCGCAGGGCACATAACACAAGCAAGTCAAACAGGGGGTGACCCGGACTTCAGGTTCAAGTGCCGTCCCAAATGACACTTTAGAAAAATCGTGGTTTCACACTTTCCTCACATAGCCATTTAAAACACCTTACATACCTCAAATAAGGGATGATGATGGATGTTTAACAATTAACCGGAGAAACATCCTTCTGTTGGTGTATTTCCACGGTGACGTCTTCTTTTATTCTCAAAATCTCACATGTTTCTTTCTCTTGTCTTCTCAGACACAAACATATTCAAAGCAGAAAAGAAGAATTCTTTGAGGAGAGGTATCA